AGGTGGAGGACGAGGAGTCAGAAGATAGTCCAGAGGAAAAAATTCAATTCTAAGGGACGAGGGAGAATTGTTAGTCATGCAAAGAGTTTTGCAATCAGAATCGAAGCGAGATCAATCCTGGTTGAAACATAGTATCTTTCGCAACAAGTGCACAATAAAGGGAAAGGTTTGCAGCTTGATCATCGATAATAGGAGTTGTAAAAATGTGGTGCCTACACTGATAGTGAAAAAATTGAGATTGGCCACGCAGAAACATCCCCAATCTCATTCCCTTAATTGAAGAAGGGAAACGAGATATACGTGTATCAACAGTGCTTGGTCAAATTTTCGATTGAGATCCGTTACAGGAACAAGTATGGTGTGATGTGGTTTCGATGGACGCATGTCACATTGTTTTGTGGAGGCCTTGGCAATTCGACCACAAGAATCAACACGATAGCTTCAAGAATACTTGCTCATTTAAGAAGTATGGGAAACTTATTGTATTGTTACATGTTAAAAATGCTAGAGGCAAAGGCAACAAAGAGGAGGCATTAGTCCCAAGCCACCTTCATGCAATTAGTTCAGAACGCTTGACACTGGCATTAATCCTCCTAGAGGAAATTAAGGAGAGTGAGATATCATCACTACTATAACCACTAATGCAGGACTTCCAGGATGTGATGATCGACAGTCTTCCGGAGGGATTACCGTCACTGAGAGACATTCAACAAGCTATGGAGCTTATACCAAAGTCATTGTTGTTGAATCAACCCGCCTACAGATTGAGACATGCAGAGTATAAAGAGTTGCGACGACAGGTATAGGTTCCCATCGCAAGAAGGTCGCTTATAGTAAGTACCAATCAATGTGTTGTCTCAGCCCTAATGGTACCCAAGAAGGACACTTCATGGCAGTTGTGCATTTCAGTAGGGTCATCAACAATATTACCATCAAGTATCAGTTTTTCATACCTCGCCTAGATAATCTCTTGAATCAATTACACAGAGCCACCATCTTTTACAAGATTGACTTATGCACTGGGTATCAGAGATCTGAATGAGGCTAGAAGATGAATGGAAGACCACATTCAAGACATAAGATGACTTATATGAGTGGACCGCTATGTCAATCAACTTGTCAAACACGCCCAGTATTTTTATGAGGCTGATGAATCAGATATTTAGGGCGTATATCGGGAAATTTGTAGTGATCTACTTTAATAACATTCTGGTATACAACCAATCTGAAGAGGAACATTTACAACACCTAAGGGCAGAGTTAGAGGTATGGTGCACAAAGAAGCTATATGACCATCCTAAGGTGTCACTTCATGACAGACCAGGTATGCTTTTTGGGTTACATCGTGTCTAAAGCAGACATTCAAATGGATTTGACAAAAATCGAACCATCATGAGTTGGACCGCACAGCAATAGTTCACGTAGCTGAGACAGAATCTTGGATTAGCGACGTTTTACAGGCAATTCATCAAGAGTTTCAGTACCATCACCGCCCCCTGACAGATCTTTTGAAGGGAGACAAATTCCAATGGACAGAGGCAACTCATAATAGCTTCAAGGAACTTAAGGAGAAGATGACCCAAGCGCTAGTCTTGGCATTGCTAGACTTCAACCAACTATTCAAGATAGAGTGTGACACATCCGACGTGGGTATAAAAGCAGTGTTGAGCTAAGGAGGTCACCCCATCTTCTTTTTCAATGAGAAGCTGAATGATTCCCAGAGAAAATACTCGATGTATGACAATGAGTTTTATGCTATTGTGAGCCATTGAACACTGGAGTCATTACCTGTCGACAAGTGAGTTTACATTATTCACAGATCACGAAGCTTTAAAATTCTTGAAAAATCAAATAAAATTGAAGGGTCGACACGAAACTTGGAGTTGACTTTATAGCATCATTTCAACTCATGCTTAAGCACAATTCTGAGAGCCAAAACCGCGTAGCAGACGCACTAAGCCGTCGTCACCTGTTGATCACGTCAAATCAACTCGAGTTGTAGGGTTTGAGATTGTAAAGGACTTGTATGAGGACAAAGACTTCAAAGAGATAAGGGAGCAATGTCAGAAAAAGCCTACCAAGCAATACTACCGAGTTAATGGCTACTTGTTCTACCAGAGTAAGTTGTGTATTCTTAGATGCTCACTGAGAGAAGCCATTGTTCAGGAGAGCCGTCATGGAGGATTGATAGAACATTTTAGCAAGGACAAGACTCGCACTGGTGAGAGAGCACTTCTTTAGGCCTCGACTGACGAGGGATGTAAAGTGGCACGTATGACAGTGCAGAACTTCTCATATGGCAAAAAACAAGGGACATGATGCAGGGTTATACACCTTCTTACCAATACCAAAGATATCGTGGGTGGACATTAGCATGGACTTTGTGGTGGGGCTTCCGAGGACACAGTGGAATAAGAATTTGATCATGGTTGTCGTGGAATGATTCTCAAAGATGACACATTTCACACCAAACCACAAGACACCCAATGCATCGCACATCACCAACTTGTACTTCAGAGAAATTGTGAAACTGTACGGAATATCCAAGACCATCACATCAGACAGATATGCCAAATTTCTGAGCCGTTTCTGGATGACGCTATGGGGAAAATTGGGCACTAAGGTTCGACTCAATTTGGCAGCACACCCTTAGACAGATGATTAAACCGAGGTAGTAAACAGGAGTCTTGGAAATCATATGCTTTGTGGGGAAAAATATCAAGAAATGGGATTTGATTCTCACTCAGGCTAAGTTTGCGTACAACCGATCCGTAAGTCAAGCCACGAGCTGCACCCCATTTGAGGTCGTCTACCGGTGCAACCCGCTCACTCCACTGGAATTAGTATTGCTCCTACTGACGTTAAAGATTGTGAGGATGTTGAGGAATGAGTGCACGAGATTCGGAAACTTCACAAGGAAGTCTGAAAAATTATTGCTAAGCAGAATCACAAGTACCAAGCACAGGCAAACGAGACAAGGAAAAAAGTGACTTTTCAAGGAGATCTAGTGTGAATTTGGCTGAAGAAAGAGTGACTTCCAGATAGCGCATTCAAAAAACTAAAACCCAGAGCAGATGAATCGTTCAAAACACTTCAAAACTGAATGAAAATGCCTATAAGATCGATCTGTCAGGGAACTGCAATGTTTCAGCCACGTTCAATATCGCGGACCTGGAGCTCTATTACGAAGATTCAGAAGGTTAGACAGATGAATTTGAAGCACCTGCAACCCTGGGAAACTAACATGTGCCTCGCTGAACCGACCAGTGGTTCAACAGAGAATAGTCTCGATCCAGCAGGAGGTTGGACTGGCCCTCCCTAAGGATACCATGGGGCGAGAATTACTACTCCTGCTCTTCTCCCACCCCCCATTCCCATTCCATAAGGGAAATTCTCTTCCTATTCTATTTTCTTCCTTTTCTATCTCCTTCCAATTCTATCCCCTTCCAATTCTATCTACTAGTAACTATTATATGTATCTTGTTTGCTTGCTTAGAATCCAATTTTTTTCATGTGTTGATTTCAGAATCCTGAGGCATCTCTCCCATGCTAGGGTTGTATCTGATAACGGGTGGTGCTCCGACTGTATCCTGCTCCGAGATGGTCGTTATCCCTTCAAGCTCACGCCATTAGCCGCTTCCTTGCTGCCACCCAGCATTTCTGGCTCTTCCTGTCTGCCGCTCAGTTTCCTATGCCTCTCCCAGCCGCCGCTCAACCTGCCTAGACCCTTCCCTGTTGTCGCCAGCTTGCTCGCACCTCCACTCTACTACCACTCAACCCATCTGGGTCGTCCCTGCTATCGCCTGATCCCCTTTGCGCCTGTCCCATAGCCGACCAACCCTCCTACACTTCTCCTATTGCCGCCAAGCCTTCTCCTGTTTCTCCCTGCCATCGTATCCCTCCCTTGCCACCACGTGCTTCCTACCAGTGCTGCCCTAATCACTTACACCTGTTGTCCAGCCATAGTCCATTTTACAGGCCATCACCCTAGGGTCCCATTGTAGTTGTGTCATTTTATTTCCACTCTTATGAACTCTTATTATATTCCTTCCTGAATTTTAATAATAATAATCGTATTTACTTATTCTCGGATTATTCCGGTAGCAAGGACTCTTGGGCTACCAATGAACTAGCAGAACCGACCTAACTCGGACAATCACCTCAGCTCAAGAATTACTTGATGGCCTCCACCAAAGGAAACACCAACTAGCCGACCGAGCACTAGTCTTGAGTTCTCAGGTTACACCTATTGTATTTTAGGAGTAATTAATTTGTCTTGCTTTATATTTTTCTATGTATGCAGCTCATTTTGTCTCATTTAATATAGTGCTTAAACCCTCACACTCGAATACAAATAGATGGCCACAAAGAGAGCCGGGGTTACAAAATTTTGGGGTGATGCAATCATAAATACTCAGGCTTAGAATCACTGTTCCATTAAGATTATAATGAATTTTCTCTTTACTCTCCTCCAATCTCTTCTTAGCTCTTCTATTTCTCTCCTCTTTTCATCCGCTAAGTTTTAGCATAACCTACAAAAAGACAGATCAAAATCAAACACGTGCGTGGCGGAATTTTAAGAATCTTCTTTAGTGTCTTCTATTTTAGTACTTTCTATATTTAAAATATAAAATTATTGGTATGTTATAATTCTTGTTTCTTTCTTTTATCATGGGGAATTATAAGATTTTATGTCTTTCCTAATGTGGGAGTTACCCCCCCTCTCTATTTATCTTGTAATCGTTTCATAATAAATTGAAGAGGAATAATATTTTTTTCCTCCAAAAATCACATTGTAGAATTAAACTTGCGAAAAAATTGGGGTTTAAAAAATACATTTTACATAGTAATTTTGTGCTTCTTTTGAAACAAAACAACCATGATATCAAACACTTACGCTACGCAAAACAAAATTTCAATGACAAGTCAATTAAAAGTTCTAATTATATTCTATAAATAAACCAAAATAGCAAGGAGGGTAGCGTGCAGGTAGAGAACACCTTAGCTTCAGAATCAGATGCTACAGTTCCCAACTTATCCAAGGGAATAGTATAATCTGCTAGTACTTCAACATCTGGTCCAGCTTTTAGAATGGCTGGTGCACGTATAAACACTCCCCGACATCTATCAGAACCACCTTCCTGTTCAGCAAGCTTAGGAACTGCAAGTTCGGTTTCAAAGCTCTGAACCTACAAAAACAAAATCATGCATCTTTTCAAGAACGAAACCTGACCCGTCAGACAAAAACCTTAAGTGTGTGATGATGATGAAGACAATTGTTTCCACGAAGATGTTTTACAGCCAAATAACATACCTGGCTGCCAAAAAAGTTTCTGTGAACTGTGCAGTCCAGTCCCCCAATAAGCTCTTGGCCGCCCAACTTTTGGCCTGAAATGGAAGTCCTGATTTACACTTATTCCTAATGCTTTTGTGCTTCAATTACCATAGCAATGCAAATATGGTTACCAGTAGCTTTATTTGCAAGGAAAATGAGTCCTGCACAGGTTCCCCAAACTGGTTTTCCTGAATTAACGAAGTTTCTCAAAGCTGGAAACTGCAAAACAATTGATTCCACATCTGTAGTTGATTCTATTAATTATGACAAGAAAGCAGCATGCGCTATGCCATAGATGCATAATTTGCCATAAATCTATAGGCCATGCATGAAAGCTATATTCTAACAAAGTACTATAGGTGAGCTTAAAGAAACGGAATGCAAAACAATACCAATTATCATGTAAACAAACAAAGTAAGCTTGTTATCTTGAAATCAAAACGAAACTTCTAACAATACTAAGAGAATATCTGGGACATCTTTTTTACAGTTTGATTTTATAGATTGTTATCAAACGAGTATTTGACTACAACTTTCTTGTTATGTTTTAAAAAAATTTTTAGTGGTGAGAATGGATCATTTCAATATTAAACCAGTCACGCTATTATAGTTACAGAAAGCTATTGTCAGCCTTTTGCGGAGGAAAAAAAAATTGTACTACCTATAACGACTTTCAAAAACTCTATTTTTTTCCCAACAATTTCAAAACTAATTTTATGGATGATTGCAATCATCCCAAATGAATCCAAAGTTATAAAGGCATCCTATGAGATTATGAAATGGCCCCAACTGGCAAAGGTATATGATCTGCAACTACTATTTGTCATTGGAGGTGTTTTGGTCGCTACCATTATTTCCCCCCCCCCCCCCCCCCTTTTCGCTGCCAATTCACATCCGTCCTTATTTCAATCCCCTTTTGATCATTGCCTTTCATCATTCAGCAATTGGTATCCATTTTTTAGTGCCCTTCCCTATTAGATTCAGAGTTAATCGGCTGCCCTAGTAACAAGGTCTCTGAGATTATTTGCTGTGCTCATATGAATTGGTATTTTCAGTTTAGATTCTTTATTTTAGTACACCATATATATCTCCATGATGGAGTGTTTTTTTTTTTCTTCTCTCCTTACATACTTTTTAATTAGCTCTAGAGCCAAAAGGACATCATCAAACAAATTATCCCATTTCGTTTAATTTGAATTTTAATCCTAGAAAGATGAAAGCAATAAGAACAGATTAACAATTAGCAACAAGTCAGATGACATTGTAATTACAAGCAATTTGCGTTTAAGTTTTATATTTTGATTTTCTTGCCTCCTAATTGTAGAATGATCTATAAGTACTAGAACTACATTAGGATTGATCCCCTAGGAGGCAGGATGCAAAGGCACCACTAGTTAGTGTGTATTTTAGGCAAATCCATTTGCCTAAAATAATACCTTAAGGTGCTTGACTATTTATTTTACACAAAAAAAGAGATGTCACCAAAATGAACAAAAAGGCTTCAATCATGTAATATATATATATATATATATATATATATATATATATAAGAAAAATTTTCTCATTAAAAACTTAAAATTGGCAGCTTGAATGCAAACAACAAACATATAGCTTAGCAGAAATATGAATTTCAAGATGTTCATTAGTGAAAAATGAAGAGAACCCTCGATTTACTAAAACAAAAAACGATTATTCCTGCTCAGTTATAGCAATTTTATCTTTCTTCCAATGAGGGAAAATATGTTAAAATTATTCTAAAGTTTCACTTCCTTTCTTTTAATCAAGTTCCGACAAGAAAGTAGATGGAAAATTTTCTTCTGTAAGAATCCTCGATAAGAAAAGGAGCATAAATTTATTTTCTTTTCTTCTCGCTTTTCTTCCCTCCCACGACTTGGATAGTAGGCTTCGTTTGAACAAAGCTCCTTTAAAATCTGTAATCTAAAACTACAAAAAACTGTTTTTCTTGCGAAGCATCTTCGGGAGACGTTCGAGAGAAGCTGTTTCACCAAATGAAATCTTTTCCAGACGTCAGAATTCACAGCAATGGAAGAGAGCTTCACCGCCTTCTCAAACTGAAGCCTTATCACCATACTTCCCATTTTATTAGTGGGTCTGCTACCCTCTTTTGTTCAGTTCAAACAACCTAAGTTCAATTTTCTTTATTCATCACGATAGAATCATGCAAGTAACTAGATTATAAACTCTCTCGTCAAGAAAAAAAAAGAACTAATAAAAATCACTTCGTAGACAGCAATCGCAACTCATCAAAGAAAATCCAAAAAAATATTCATAATTTACTCTGCGAATAAGCAGTATCATCTAAAGAATCCGAAGAATACTACAAAAAAAGTTAAACCCATTAATTTCATCATAGTAGATTACCAAATTTTATAGAACACGCAAAAGGAAAAAAAAAACAAACAAAAAAGGAACCGACGAGATTATGGTAGTTGGCGAGCTTGGCCATGGTGGTGCTCTCTCCTCCAGGGATGATGAGGGCCTCGATGGACTCCAACTGCGATGGCTTCCTCACCTCGACTCCCGTCACACCGAGCCTCCTCAGAGCTGCCTCCGCAATCGCCATCAATCAACAGGACGGTGAGAAAGTATTAAGCAGAGAAAGAAGGAAAATAACGAAAGAGCTTCGTGAAACACCTGCCATGTGTTCGTTGAATGAACCTTGGAGAGCAAGAACGCCGACTGCCATGATCGACGCAGAGAGAGGGGGAGCGGGGGGTTTTCCGGCGTCGTGGGTGCCTATGTATCGAGAATATGAAAAGTAACTTTATCTAAAAATGAAGTTTCGGCGACATTTCTCTGAGGCGATTATTAGGGAAAAATTTTGTAATATTTACATCTATTTAGCTTATTAATTATTAAAGAGGAATCTTAGACAATATTTTAGGGTTATTTTGAGATTATTATAAATAAATTCATATATTTTACTTCAAAATCTTACAATAATTCAAAAATAACTGTGAAATAATATACTCAGTTCCACTTCAATAATCTTAAAATAACATTGTAGAGGTTATTTCGGAGTTATTTTGAGTTATTTCGAGATTATTGAAGTGGAATATATGAGTTTACTTTTAATAACCCAGAATCTCCACGTTGTTATTTCGAGTTTATTGAAGTGGAACTGCATAATTTTAGAGTTATTACGGAGTCAGCGATTCCACTGTAATATTTTTTTAGATGAGCCTGATATAGCTCATCTGGGAGTTCGTGCGCAAAGCTATCGGAGTCCGAATAGAAAATTTTCTTTCCTTTTATGGGAAATTTAACTTTAGAACCTCATTGAACAAATATATTTTTTTAACAATAACCCCAAATCAACCCTTAATTATTTAAAATTTCTTAAATTCTATGACATATTTAAAATTTATAAGGACGAGTCATTGTTTTGTGAAAGAAAATAAACATTTAAATATATGAAAGATTAGTTGAGTGATATTTCTAAGTATACTGCAATGTACAAGCTTTTTCCAAGCCCAAGTAAGTCTAAAAAGGCCATATGAGCAAATAAACTATATTAAATACTCCTGTAAGAAAAGGAATTTGTCCAAGCCAAGTAAGGCAAGTAGAGTGAATACAATTAAGTACTCTTGGATGATCTTCAATTCCTTGATTTTTGTTGTTGATATATTCATTAAAGTGATTTAAATTATAATTTGTAATTATTTTAGACGAGTGAGGGTTCAATTGTACACCTTTAGAGGAGTTATGCATAACAATGAACCTAGATCTTGATGCAATACTTTGGTTTGTAATGTGATATTAAATTTTTATGTTGGTACTTCATAAAAAAAAATAATTGGATAATATATAAAATATCATTACCTTCAAAGATTATGGGATATGATTATGGTCACTTCTACTGTCACGACTCGGCTCGAGGTTTAGAATTAACCAAGACGGGAATGGACAGTGGAAATAAATTCTCTGTTATTATATTTCTATTAATAACAGTTTAGTATTTAAAAATTCATGAAATAACAACTAAAGAAAGCAACAAAAATAATAAGTAGAAATGTATGCTTTTTTTATTGTTGTTCTCGCCTTCTATACACATTTAATCCTCTTCTGCTCATCTTTTTCAAATGATTGAAACTTAAAAATAATATTAAAGCAACAGAATAAGTTATTTAAAGATAAACAATGAGTAATCACATTTCTATAGTACAGTAACCCAAAGAAAGAAATAAATATGCATGTTACTTTCATATTTCTATAAGAAATCTTGTAATATGTTAATCTTTCATATTTTTATAAGAAATATGATAATATACTAATGTATGCATCAATGACCTTTTTTTAAATGAAAAAATTCAGATCTTCCATATGTATTACTGTATCTTTACTCACATTTTATACTCTTTACCTACACATCTATCTCTGTGAGGATCACCCTCAACAAAACCTAACACACCATTGACAAATATTTCCCCGTCAGCTTTAGCTAGCACAGCGGTTAGCAACGTAAATATCACAGTTGTCTATGGTGAAAAGACTTACTTGTCTCCCGGTTGATGTTATCTCGTCGGTACAACAGTTAGCAATGTAAATATCACAATTGCTGAGATATTAAGCTCTGATATACTTATCTCTTGTCGATATTATCCCGTCGACATAGCAATTAGTGATCTAACCATCAAAATTATCTAGAATTGTAGTAAAATTCTATGCAAGCGATTACAATGGTGTCTCCTACCTTTACTATTAGGTGGTGAACTTCTCTGAACATATACATACAAGCGTTCATATTTAAGTTATTTCATTTTCATAACATTCATTATTTTGAGACATCTTCATGCATTTACTATCATGCATGCTTACTCTATTGTGCAACTGTTGATTATACATTTCTCTCATATCATTTATACATCTTATCTCATGCATATCTCTTACATCATATATATCTTTCTTATCATACATATCTTACATATCATGTTTATCATACATATCGTTCATCTCATGCACATCTTTCATATATATCTTGCATATCTTTTCTATTATGTATGTTATGCATAACTTTCTAACTAATTGTATGAAGAATATATTGTAATTTTAAATCTAATTGAATTAATGTATACATTAAATCAAACATACATTTTTAAATAAAGAAAATTACTGAAATTTAAAAATATAATTATTCACATTGATTGTCATGCTAAATTTTTAATCTTAAATAACTAGATAGATGTTGCAATAACTTTCATGTTGATCGTAATAAACTATAGAATAAAAAATCAAACTTTATAATTCAAGCAATTTTCGTTAATCGAATTTTTTTTTAACATAGGATTATTTACCTGAAATTACGGAGCCAACGCTCTTTCCACACGCTCATCTCGAACTCACCGCTCGAGTAAACAACCTGAAATCTCTAAATATCTTGAGATTTTATAAATTTTCGGCTCATAAATTAATTTAACCAAAAAAGTAAGTTTATTACCTCAAATAGACTTCTCAACAGAAGTCTACCTTTTCGAAGCGACAAAAATTCTTCTTTATTCTTCATAACATCTCAAATCTTCTTTCCCCTTCACTGATTTTGTGCTAAAGCACCTACAGAAACTCACAAACCACTTACAACACTTCCGACATAAGTTCAGTGCCGCCACCGAAAATAAAAATGCATGATAATTGAAGCAAATCTCAAAAGGAAAGCATGGGAAAGGAAATAAAAATCTCAAATGCTGCTAAAAATAGTTTCATACTTACCAGTTTTTCTCTAGAGTCCTAAACCAAAAACTCAGGCTTACTAGGTGGCTGCTCGGTCGCCTCAGCTCGCGCCCTACTAGAGTGGCGCGAGCAAAACTCTTTCTGTTGAGCCGCTGCAGCTGCGTGAGGAAGAAATCAGGACAGGGAAGGAGGGGTTTTAAGGATATGAAGCACTATTCCACACTTATATCGCATGATAAGTCGGTGGGTATGGTAACCAGGATTAGGTAGGGGTTAATTATGGGTTAATTAGGTTTATTTAATTTAAATTACACTTATATATTCTGATTTTTATATCTTCCATTCGATTCCTAATTTATTTATAATATTATATATTGAATTAATCGATTTTTATGTAGAATTTTATAAATTTGATTTGACTGAAACTAAAGTTCTGAATTTGAGGCATATTTTAATTTGTCAAAATTTTTATCAAATTTCTCAAAAAAGGTTATTACAATCTACCCGCATAAAATTTTGTCCTTGAAATTCATGAACTGCACATCAACAAATATTTTTAGAGAATGAAAAATATAGTGATTACAAAAATTTGTTTTTTGTTAAATGTTAATTAAAGCATATGTGATAAACTATACGTCCAACAAATCTAATATAACTCCCAAAAGATAATTCATCCGTCAAACTATGCATCAACACCGACTGTGAAATTTTGGAAAGAGCAAATTTTATGTTATCATCCCTAACCTCTTTCTCATGATCATTCATAATTCTGAAACATCAATGATATAATTTAAATAGACTCAATAAAAGTTTTTTATTCTTTATTTTGTTTGGTTAAAATTAATCCAATTTTCATATTGACTCTTCCATCAGGGTTCCTGTTATTAATCTAAACCTCTTGCTCTGATCTAAACCTCTACTCTGATACTACTTTTGTCACAATCCAGTATGGGACTTGAAAGTTACCAAGATGGGAACAGACCATCAGACAGTGAAAATAAAATCTCTGCTATTCTATTTTTAATACAGACGGTTTAATATTCAAAAATTCATAAAGAACAACTAAAGAAAGCAATTAAATTAGTAAGTAGAAATATGTATCTTTCTAGTTGTTGTTCTCACTTCTTATACGCATTAATCTTCTTATGTTCATCTTATTCAAATGATTGAGACCTAAAAATAATATTAAAATAATATAATGAATTGTCTAAAGATAACTCATGAGTAATCACACTTCTAAAATACAATAACTTAAAAGAATGAAATGAATATGCATGCTGATCTTTCATATTTCTATAAGAAATCTTATAATATGCTAGTCATTCATAATTTTATAAGAAATATGATAATATGGTGATGCATGTATCAATAACCTTTTCAAAATGAAAATATTCAAATCGTCTATATGCATTGATTTTATCCTTACTCTTACTTTATACACTTTACATACACATCTTTCTTTGTGAGGATCATCGTCAATAAAATCTAACATATCATTGACTAATATTGTTTTATCGGCACAACGGTTAGTTATATAAATATTACAATTGTGTAGAGTGATAATGCCCATACCCGTCTCTTGATCGATATTATTTCATCGACATATCAGTTAGCAATGTAAACATCATAATTATTTGGGGGGGGGGGGGGGGGGGGGGTAAGCTCAAATCTACTCGCCCCGACTGATTTTATCCCGTCGGCACAACAGTTAGTGATATAATCATCACAACTGTATGCGGTGGAAAAAAAACACTACGTATGCGGGTACACTAGTATATCTGTCTATATCATTAAATTATGAACTCCTTCTCAGAATATGCACATAAAAACATTCACATATAAATTATATCATTTTCATAGCATACATTATTCTGAGACAACTTCGTACATCTATTATTGTGCATGCATATATCTTATATCATGTTTATCTTTCATATCATTCATATCTATTAATCCCCTTTTGTTCATACAAAAATATCATTGTTGGTCGAGTTATTTTTTTTTTTAATTACGAGACCATGCATCATTTCTCATTTGCACAGCTCAACATTTCCTTTCATTAATCCCCTTTTGATCGTAGGAAAATATATACATACAAAAAGAATAATGTTAAAGGTATGCAAACCACTATTTTCTTAAATAATTCAATCATGTGCTTAACCTAATAGGGAAAAAAAATAAATATAGGGGGCGGCAAATTTGAAAAAAACACGAGCTATTTGATTTGCTGAAAGAAGAATGCAGTGTAAAAAAAATGTATTGCATCTTAAATAATTTAAAGTTGTTCAGTTCTGTATAAAATAAATGCAAGACTTTTATATTAATGAAAATAGGATCAATATAGAATATATGACCGTCGATGGTGGTTGTGGCCGGCGATAGCCGATGCAGAGTGCCGAAGGTGGCCGGGAGCAATGGTGGCATTGATGACTTCCAAATGTATTGTAATTTTCCAGTACCTCTAAAATTCATCCGAACAAATACTTGAATATCTAAAACTCATGCAAAACAAGGACACCCCATAAGTAAGGCATCCATACACCAGCCAATAGGGGTGTAAACGAGCCGAACACGAGCAAGCCATGCTCAGCTCGTGTTCGAACACGAGCTGTTCACGAACAAAAAATCTTTTTAACAACTCTAATCATGTAATCATAAAACAATAAGTATTTGAGCAAAATTTAAAAATTATTATTTATATTAAAACATCATTTGAATCTAATTTAATAATTTTTTTTTTCTATATATAGATATATATAAACTTGATGAGCTTTATTTCGAGCTAAAACGAGCCGAACACGAACGAACACATATTAGTTCATGTTCGGCTTGTTAAATTATCGAACGAAATTAACAAGTCAAACACGAGCTTCTCAATGAGCCGAACACGAGCTATTCGCGAACAACGAGCCATTTTGACAGCCCTACGAGCCAATTCCTATGTATTTAAACATCTAAAACCTAAATTTTACTTTTTAAACTTATACCACCCAAATCTTTCATCCCCCATAAGAAAATACCACCATTTTAACTTTAAGAGAAGGAAATACACCTTTTCAACAATAGGTCAGGTGGCAAGCATGTAAAAATTGAAGAATAGGCATTAGATGTGTAAATACATAGAAATTGAGTGGTATATATGTAAATCTTCCTATAAAAAACTCAAAAATTAACTTCCAAACAGAGTAATACAACCAATTTTACATGTTAAAATCTCTCTCTATATACATATATATATATATATATATATATATATATATATGTTACAAGCTTAGTGCAATTCTGCGAGGCACAAATGCGAGAGAATTGAAGAAAGATTGGGAGCAGCTGGCAATAAACCGAGACAATGAAATTAACAAAGCCATGAATGCAATGGTGAAACAGCTCCAGCAAGACCTGAGCATCAGTACAGGATGGCTTCTTACTTGCCTCATCATCCTGTAAAATATCACTTTCAGCCTGCGGTCTCTCATTATAGCATAAAAATTAGAAACTCCTGTAATTTTTGCTGCTGCTTCTGTTTTAATTTTCTGACCCTTATATTGGCTCCAGGGTTCATCATCACCACATATGGTTTTGTTCATCCAAGCGTAGATTACATCAGCAAGGATGAGGCTGATGTGCTGGCGAAATAAGATTGCATCTTTTGAAATCATTACTCTACAGAGGGAAACAGCGTCCTGTAAATACCATAACAAAGAGAATAGTTTTGTTGGAATGTTATGTTACACCTGAAAGGGAAATATGAAATATAATGTGGTTGAAGTCATGTTTAATGGTTGAAGCCGTGGATAGAGGTGTAATGTGTTCAATTGTCATTAACAAAACTTCCAAGTGTAATGTGTTCAATTGTCATTAACAAAACTTCCAAATTCATGAATTTTGCAGAATTAGCTGTTTGTTCGGAAGAAATTAAAACTTAAAGTAAAATAATATTGCATTTGAAATTCAGCCCTTCATTCAATTTTCCTGAATTTGAAATTCGGCCGATTTTATCGAACTTAAAGCACACTGTTTAATATAAAGTGTTGTCTGTCAACACCGTCACCGCCCACCGCCCACCGCCCACCGCCGCCACTAACACATTAATTCTTACATTGAAATACATTTTTTTCATTTTTACTTCAAATAAAAAAAAAACAAGTCAGTCGCTTACTTTATAATGAACCAAATAACTCCAAAGTATTTTAAAAAAAAATACATTGCATTTATTTAACATTACATTACTTTTTCTGCTAACCAAATAGCCCGTGTAATTGAAATGTAGTATATTTGAAATATACTTTGAAGTTATTTAGTTTGATCTAAAATAAATGCAAGAATTTATATTTTTGTATCTGTTTTAAGAAAAATGAAATTAATGTAAAACATGACCTACAATAGCGATGACGTCGACCGGGATTGGTGACTGCGACGCCTGCAGTGGTTTGCTGCAAACCGCAAGTGGTGGGGGCGAGCTACTGACAGTGGTGGAGGCGATGATGTGTAGCGAGTGACAGCGATAGTAGCACATGGCAGGTGGCCTGAAGCAGGTTGCGTTTGACAGGAGGCAAAGGTGGCTAGTGGTAGAAATAGGCGACGGTGGCATTAACAATAGGCTATAGTTTGGAATAACCTAAATCTAATCTCAGAATTTTGAACTGCAAGGTGAATTCCAAATTCATAAAAATTTTGCGCGGCATATTTTTTTCATCCAATCAAAGCTCAGAATTTTGTAATCTCCTGCATTTGTTTTACATTACACCACTAATATAGAGAACCAACCTGTCCATGACAAATCGTGAAATATATGTAATGAACACTTAAAATGTGGATCATGCTAAGGAACATGAGATTTAAGTATACACTTATATCAACTAGATAACTATAACTTTGATGTAGAAATACATCAACAACAACAACAAAGTCTTAATCCCACTACGTGGGGTCGGCTAAATGAATCCTTTTTCTCCATTGCGTCCTATTTAGTGTCATATTTTCATTTAGTTCTAGTAAATTAAGATCATTTTTTATAGAATAAGTACAAGTCTTCCTAGGTCTGCGTCTGCCTTTCTTAACATAAGTCGAATCTAAAACATCTACTCTTCTAATCGGATTATCAGATAGTCGATGTTTAATGTGACCAAACCATCTGAGACGACCTTCTCTAATTTTGTTCGTCACAGGAGCTACACCAACCCTATCACAGATATATTCATTTCGCATATTGTCTCTAAGAGTAAAGCCACTCATCCACCTAATCATTCGCATCTAGGCAACACTTAACTTATTATTATGCTTCTCTTTTAAAGGCCAACATTCAGCATTATAGAGCATTGCAGGTCTCAATACCGTCTTATAAAATTTTCCTTTCAGTCTAAGCGGTACTTTTCTATCACAAGATAAAGTACTTTGATGTAGAAATACTGAATATAAAATGATTGGCCTTCAACTATAAAAATGAATGAGAGCCAACCACTCAAGATAAGATAATGGGATATATATTTGAAAATTGCAGACCATTTATTTTGGCACACCAATTTTGGTACTCATTCGGGACAAGTTATTAGACTATAGTTAGATATAAAAAATTCAAGGAAGAAACTAACCTATAAGGTGAGTGATGAAATTATTATTGCAAGATTTGGAAGGAAAATGGATAGCCATACTGTAACAAGAACGGAAGTCTTTTTTTTTTTTTTGCGAAATTTAATAACCATCCAATAACAATTTGAATGAGACAATTAGAAAACATTTTCATAGAAAAAAGATACCATAGAAGAAGTGATATAAGGTGCAGAATGAAGTGCATTTATACACACACAAAAGCTTAAAAATAAATAAGGCCATATATCATCAATAATAATTGTTGCATGCTGGTGAATTCACAGCGATAGAGTGATATATTAACATCCTAGTATTGTACCAATATTCGTCATATAAATAAAAGAGAAAACCGACAAAGAGAACAAAATGAGTTTTTACGTGGAAAACTCAAAATGTTAAAAACCACATGGCCTAACTCAGCTGAAATAATTCTACTATCCTAATATATGATATAAGATTTTACCAAACCTTGAATAACAATATTATATAAGTGGAGCTTATTGAGGTGACCACCGCTAGGGGAGTGGAGCAGAACGTTAGAGAAAATGGCAAGGACTCGGCCGTTGTGAAGGAAGTAGAGGTCATTTGCTAGGAAATTTGAAGTTAGCGTTGATGGTAGCAACAACACGATGACAGTGGTCCAGCGACGACAACAATGGTGGCTGGGCGCTGAGAGTCGGTGGTGACCTGACGTCGATAATTAAATGACAACGATGGCGAGGACAGGGTACTGTTGGCCCGATGATAGCGACCGACGACGGTGGTGGTCAGACAACAATGGTCTGGTAATGGCGACGACGGTGGTGGTCAGACAACGACCCTACGATGGTGGTCCGACAGAGACAATGGTGATAGTCAGGCAATGACGGTGTGGCGGCGACAACGATAAGAGTAGTGGTAGGGGCAACGACCACACGGTGATGGTCTGACGATGACAGTGACGGTGGTGGTGGCAGGACATTGACCCAATGATGACAACTTTTAGGTTTAAGATCGCAATTCTCATGTATTTACCTAACACCTAAATGCTCATGTTTTCAGGCATACCACTCAAATCTTTAACATCACATCAAAAATACCATCATCATTGTCTTTTAAAACTAAAATACATCTTTTCATGCATATGTTTATGACACCAAGACATTATAAATATAAATTTCAAAGTTTTTGCGCTAGATAAGAAAATATATAAGAATTGTGTGGTAGGTAGGGCTGTCAAAAAAGCTAGTTGTTCGAAAACAACTCGTGTTCGACTTTTTAAGTAACTCATGTTCGGCTCATTTGTTAAGTAAATAACCCGAACACGAACAAATTTTTTAAGCTCAGATTATAAACGTGCCGAACATAAACAACCCTTTGTTTGCTCATGTTCGGCTCATTATAACTCAAAATAAAGAAATCATATATATTAATTTTATAATAATATATTATATAAACTATTTATATGATAATATAGTATATATATTTATGTCTAAATTTAAATCATAACAGCTCGTGTGATCATATGATTTTGTGTCTTCTATTGCACAGAGTTGGTGCGGGTTCGAATGTAACACCCTACATCTATTTTTTCCAATTAATCTTAACAAGCCAATTTTGAGCTGAACACGAACTAGAACATTTAAATTGAGTTGAACAAGAACACATTGTTAACAAACCAATTTCGAACACGAGCCGATTTCGAACAGGAACAATTTTGAACAAGTCGAACACGAGCCAAGCCTGAGGTCGAACACGAGCCAAGCCTGAGCTCGCTCAAGCTCGGCTCGTTTACAACCCTAATGGTATGTATGTAAATTTCCCATCTATATATTTCAAACTTCAAGCCTCTAAAAAAGTTTTGAATTACTCAAGCTAGAGCTATAGTTCATATATTAAATCACAAAAAGTAAGAATATTTAAAAAGCACCGGAGTTAACTAAATGAGATGAAAAACAAATATTAGAAAACTACAACCAACAAAATAGAAATATGAAATTGCAACAAATGACAACACAAACTTAAACTAGGGTCGATCTTGGGGCGGTTGTGGTGATCGACGAGGGTTTGGACCTCCCGAGAGATAGCAAAGAATAGTTAATGGGCTGAAAGGTGTGGTGGTAGCAAATGGATGTTAGTAGCAACGAGTGGGAAGTGTAAAGCAACAGGAACAACAAGTGTGGTTGTTGTCCTGGGCGGTGGCAGCAAGAAAAATGGCTGAACAACAAGGAGAATAGCAGATAATGGCAGTTCTGGACGGAGGCAACAGGGGTGAATGACAATAGTAGTGACCGTGGATCCGGTGGACTGCAGGACATCAAAAGGATGGCTGTTCGGGGCGGCAGGAGCGAGGACAAGCGGCTGGAAGGTGGGAAACTACAAGAAAACAACCAAGGGATATTGTTCGGGGCAACTGCAGCAAGGGCGGGTGACAGGGAGTGATGTGGGAAGGATGGGGAAGGGATGGGGAAGGATAATCACCACCTCGATAGCGAGATATAGCAAGAGCATCACTCAAGCTTGGGATACAACTCTAGACGGGAAAAAAAACATAATAGCGGCTATCACGAACAAACACATAAGAAAATGAACCCTAACACATCATGAAAGTAAATTTATAATAATATGATAACTAAGAGTTAGCCTAAGGGACCGGAAGAAACTCCACAACAAGGAAAAGCCTAGACCAAACTGGTCTAGGCAAACATGAGTTCCACCCGCTTTCAGACACGACAGCGTTTCACCTGCTTTCAGATTTCCCGCGTTACATACGAAAAAAAAGTGTGATTATCCTTCACCATCAGAAACTAGTACATTCAACTACTGAAGAAAGAATAAAAGCATAGAAAATGAAATTTATGTAAGCTGATAAGCAATTAAGATATAACTTGACTTAGAATTTGCAGGCTCTCGGAAGCCAAGCTAGGAAGAGTTCAATAGACATACCGCTGTCACCATCAATCTTCTTAGTACAACACCATCCTTTGAAGGTAGAAGCCTTAAGATCAGGTTTACTGGCTGGGAAACATCATGCTCACTTTTCTGGGTTTCGAGCTCATTACTTCCGTTCCTGTTAATCTCCATCGACTCTACTCTGCATTTAAAAAAAAATTAAATACATGAAGTGGTATAAAATAAGAATAGAATTAGAACGATTATCCACCCAGCCATTGAAATTGGACAATGCTAATAAATGTCCTGAGAACAGAAATCCATCCAACTAATGTGATAAAAATAGACTTAGAAGGTGGGTACTCCAAAACTAACAACAGAAATATATATAGGAAGACGTACATGCATACCACCCAAGTCCCCTATATACAAATCTAGCCCCTAAACTTAAATTTTATTATCATGTCACCTTACCTATGAATGAAAATGTGTATTTCACATTTTAAAACTTAATAGTGGTATTTTTTATGTGATATGAAAGATTTTGGTGGTATAAATGGAAAAAGTATAGTTTAGCTGTGAGATATGTAAACACATAGTGGAATTTGTTGGTATGCATGTAAATGGCCCATATATATACATACATATGTACATACATAAATATATAAATAACACCGAAAATTTGAGAAATCAGGTAAATAGTTGGACAATTTTAAAATGTACCCATATTGTAGCATTCCCCGAAAATTCGATTGAGTCGATTTTATAAAATTTTGCACGAAGAATTGATTAATTCAATATATAACACTATATAAGAATTATGAATAGAATGGAATATATAAAAATAATAAGATATTGATTTAATTAAATTAATTAAACTTTAATTAATTCCTAATCTCTCGCATCTCTACTATTCACAGACGACCTATTTCGTGATTCTCAATCGTGGATGATTCGAACGGCTAGAATAACAATGTGGATCACGATAAATGTCGCATCCCACTCATCTCTTGAATTTTCCTTCACGAGTAAGCTGCGGCTTGGGTACTGTAGCAAACGGATGAGTGGCGGATCTGAGAGACGCAAGCTACGATTTGAAGCTCTGGGGAGGAATCGGTGAATAAAAAACCCTTCTTCACGCAATTCTATACATTCCTTTCCTTAAGTTTTCATTTTGACGTATACCACAAATCGATGCATTTTCCGGTCAGTCATGCAATGAGACAAAATTCATTTATAGTTCCAGATATGCACTTCATTATGTTAGTGCTCAGTAAGAAAAACGCCACAAATTTCTAAGTGCCCTCAGAGATCAGTTGAGGTTAAAAATGCCACAAATTTCTAAGTGCCTTCAATTTATTTAATGCAAAGCAATTTTATATCTTATGCGATCGATATGCACAATCAGCTATAATCAGCGCAATGAAAGTTAGAAAGTATTTGCGAAGTGGTGAACTGGTATTTCTGGCAAAATTAGAAATGTTACATAAAGATGTGAAAGAATTGAAAGGCATTTCAATGTTGAAAAATTTTCTGATATATTTCCTGAAGAATTGTCAGGGTTACTACCAAAACAGGAAGTTAAGTTTGGCATTGATATATAGCCAGCAATGCTACAAAGTTCAAGCCTCCTTACAGGATGACGCCGAAGGAATTGTAGAAATTGAAAATTCAATTTCAGAAACTAGCAAATAAGGGTTTTATCAGGCTAATTAATTGACCATGAAATACTCCAGTTTTATTTGTCAAGAAGAAAGGCGGATCTATGTGGTTATGCACTGATTATAAAAAACTGAAAAATGTGGCAATCAAGAACAAATATCCTTTAATCAAAATCAATGATATATTTGATTGGTAAGAGGGTGTTGCCATATTTTTCCAGATAAATCTGAGATTAGGATATCATCAAGCCAAAGTTAAGGAGACAGATATAACTAAGAGAGCTTTTGGGGTTAGGTATGGTCATTATAAATTTATAGTTATAAATTTTGACTTAAACAATGCTCATGCTGTAATTATGGACCTGATGAATCAAATATTCAGGCCTTACGTGGATCATCTTGTCATTATTTTTATTGATGTCATTCCGATATATTCAAGAACTGATAATGATCATGCCAAACATCTGAGGATAGTATTGGAGCTATTGAGAGGTAGAATCAACTAGATGCATTGTTAAAATATGAAATTTGACCACAAATTATTACATTATTGGGGCATATTATTAGTGGACAAGGAATCTCTACGAATCCTAAGAGGGTATGAAAATTTTGGAATGACCGACTTCAAAGAATTTTACTGAAATATGTCGTTTTCTTAGTTTAGTCAAATATTACATAAGATTCATTAAAGGATTTTCACATATAACTACATGGGAAAAAAAAGAAGAAATGCGATAGAAATATACCTCCATTTAAGTAAACTCAAAAAGTCAGAAATTAAAGAGATTGACAATTTAAAAATAAACCAAAATTTTGCATTGCCCAAAATTTGGTCGAATCAATTTTATAATTCTACATGACAAATTGATCGATTCTGTACACAACACTATATATGAATTATGAACTGAATGGGAGAAAAAAAAATAATAGATATTGAGTTATTTGAATTAATTAAACCTTAATTAGTTCATAATCTCTCGCATCTTTATTGTTCCCAGTCGACCTATTTCGCGATTCTCAGCCGGAGAATGGCTCAAACGGCTAAGATAAGGATGGGGATTGCAATAAATGCCAAGTTCCACTCCTCTCTCTCCAGAATTTTCCTTCACAAGTAAGCAGTGGCTTGGGTACTGTAGTACACGGGCGAGTGACGGGACTGGAAGGCGTAGGCTATGATTCAAAGCTTAGGGGAGATATCAGTGAGTAGGAAACCTTCTTTCATGTTATTCCAGACATTCATTTCATTTCTTAAGTTTTCATTTTGATGTATGCCACAAATCAGTGCATTTTCCATTTTTGGTAGCAATATTGGAGACAAAATTGTGTCAAAAGTGACGAACTCAGTTTGTAGGCTTCTCTAATGGCTTTTAGCACGAAACAACAAGGTTAAGAGAGTATTAAGTGAATAGGTAGAAGAGGGAAGAAGAATAAACGGGATCGAAGAAGGGTTAGTTATGCCGAAAAACCCTTTTGAGTTAAGATTTTGTAAATGAGTTAAATCACAAAGCCAAAATTTCATGAACTCTTATGATGCTTAAGTTTTCCATATTGTTTGCACGATGCGGCAAGCTCGATACGAGACTGTGGAAACTTGTTGTAGAGATGCTCCGTTAAGTCAGGTAAAATGATCATGTGCTAATTTAAGAAAAATAATTCTCTGTGGGTTTCATATGATTCCATGTTTGACACTGTAACATTTATAATTTCCTGTATATTGTGGATGAAGTTTGCATTAAATGTATGAATGTAAATTGATTCCCCCCTACGATACATGTAATTTTACTACGGTATGAATATGATAAACACGCTTATGAAATCTTTGATTGTAAGCATTCATTTGCTATGATTCATGTCAATGATATATGAAATGTCTGAGGACTTTGATTTAATTGTCACAAATGATGTTATAAATAGTCTATTACATAAACACTGACAAGCATAGATAATAAGAATGTGGAGATTCTCAAATAATATTCAGGCAATAACAAAACTCTGGGAACCATTGAGATCAGATATGATGGAACATAAGAAACCGCCGTTACCAAATAGACTATTAATAATTGCTATATTGAGGAGGGGGACAACCTTCATCAATAGTTAATGCAACATTCAACTTGAGAGACGATCCAATGACATGACATGAAAATAACTAAAGCCTATACAATTACAAGTGACACTACTATGATTAGATTGAAAATTCTTATGAACATGCTTATTACAACTATGAATGTATCATATACATGTTTTATCCAATAGTCATAATCTTTTTCACTACTTGTTTTTTTTATATGTTCTACACGATTCTACAATGTTATAACTTGTGTATAAACATGTGCAGTTACATACGAGCATACACATTTTTTTTTCGTCTTTAAAATCTTATTATAGCCTTGATTATTTTGTCGAGCTCGTTGTTACTCTATATTGTTTTTAGGAAGGGGCATGGAGCACCGGGGCGAGTAGCCAAATGTGATTTGTACAACTTTTGCATTACAATTTTGAGAGTTTATGCAGATTTTTAGATACGTACTTTTATTATGTTGCACTTGACAGCTCAATATAGATATACATGTTTTGATAATATGATTTTCCTGCTTCCAAGTATATGTGAATGAAATAAAATGTATCATGTATGTTTGCGGCAATTTAGTTAGACTAATTCATTATCTATTGAGTCCTGATTCTGTAAGTCCAGATTAGCATTTTTGAAAATTTAGTCTGACTGAATTGTCTACCTCTGTCGCACCTCAGCCATCAAACTCAAACCAGCCTAAAATAAAGCTAAGCAAACCAATAGTAATTAGGTTTGGCTTTAAATGTAAGCCTTCTTGCAATTTTTGATAGGAGGTTCCAGATCCTATTTACTGAACAGGGTAAGAAATGCAAAAAAAAATTATAGCCACTCCCTTGCATTCACAAGGCTTCAAGCAAACCGGTTCAAATGAGTTATCCTTTTATGGCTTGTAAAATTCATCAGTTTATATTGGTACTTTTATTTCTTGTGAAATCTTTGTAATTGCTATATTTATAACATTTTCTAATTATAATATTACAATTGAAGAAAAAGAACAGTTTTAGATTTGGTTTGGCTTTGCACAAATTATGCAAACAATGAACGAGGGTTATTGTCACGACTCAAATGCCCAATCGCCCTAACGGTCAACTGTAGTGCGACAGAGACGAGCAATTTGGTCAAACTAAATTCTCACGAATAGTCGTCTTGATATGCAGAATCAGAACTCAATGAGTGATAAATTAGTCTAACTTAATCAACGCAAACATACTTGATATGTTTTATTTCATAATTTATTCACATTCACATATACTCGAAAGAGTGAAAATAATCACCAAAATATAAATGTATCTATACAAAACTACTAAATCCAACATAATAAAAATAAGTGCCCAAAAATCTATACAAGCTCCTAAAACTATGAAATGTGAAAGTTGTACAAGCCACACCTGACCACTCTCCCTAGTGCTTCTCACCATTTCCTGAAAATCAACATAGAGTAAGAAACAACAAGCTTCACAAAATAAT